ATTTACCACAGTGGGATAACCGCCAGCTGTAGAAAATCTTGCCAATCGACAGGACTGGGCTTTAGCACAGCGGGTTAACCACCACCTGCAGAAAACCTTGCCAATTAACGGGACTGGGGTTTAGCACAGTGGGTTAACTGCCAGCTGCAGAAAAAATTGACTATTGATGGGACTGGGCTTTAGCACAACTGGTTAACCTCCAGCTGCAGAATATCTTGCCAATCAACAGAATTGGGCTTTAGCACAGTGGGTTAATGACCAGCTGCAGAAAACCTTGCCAATCAACGGGACCAGGCTTTAACACAGCGGGTTAACTGCAGCTGCAGAAAAAATTGACCATTGATGGGGCTGGGCTTTAGCACAGCTGGTTAACCTTCAGCTGCAGAAAACCTTGCCAATTGAAAGGTTGACAGTTCAAGTCCTAGTTGAGGCAGGACATGTTTAAACATAACACTGGCCTCTGACTGAAATAAAATATATTCATTCATTTGTGTTTAAATATTGGAAAGGTTGTCACACTAAAGACAGGAGAAGCTTGTTTTCTCTAAGACTAGGATTGGTTTATAGATAGAGGTTTCGATGGACTCTCCCGATTCTGGAGACTTGTCGAGAGGAGAGCCCGAAATCCAGCATTTCTTATCACTGCAGCCTTAGGAGACTTGGTGATCCGGTTTGCAGAATCCTATACTCCCTTTTCTCCTTTTAACTCATCCATTCCTTCAATTCAGAATAACCTCCAGTCTCCTGGGTGAGGTGGGACGTCTATTTGTCCCTCCGCCAAAGGAGCTCGTTGAATGTAGAGTTTATGTGTGTTTGATGATATATTTTCCCCTTCTCTCCTCACCTTATTCCTTGTGGAAATGGTAATATTATGCCAGATGTTCTCAGCAAGCTCTTGGCTGTTCTTCTTCAGGCGGGTGGGTCTTGGACCAAAACCCCAAAACAAGTTTATAAAATCAGATAATATATTGTTGGGTTGGGCAATTGTTGTCTGCCGTCTTCAGATCATTTCGAAATAAAGAGATTCCTCTTGGTACGAGGGGCGTTCATGAAAGATTTCCACTGACCCTCTTCCTGTGGACGGAGAGCAGTTCTGAATCCTTCTCTCCATCAATGCCACACACTTCTCCCAAGTTTTGAAGCAACTGTAACCACCTCGCTTGGAGAAGTCGACGGGTTGCTCCAAAAGCCACGTTGGGACTTTGGAAATCAGAGTCTCATTGCCTGAGAAATGCTTGCCCTTCAAAAATAACTTCTTGTTGGAAAGAGGTGGAAATCCGATGGTGCAAATTCGGGCGAGTAAGAGTGCATGCTTCTTCCATTTGGGAAAGATGGGAATTGTGAACTGGTGCATTCTCTTGCAGAAGGCGGACACCTTTGTGAGCATGCCACATTGTCTCTTGGTTTTGATGGCCTCCCTCAATGTCCGCAACAGTAAAGCCCAGTCTGCCCCAGTGATCATGGTTCCCTTTGCTAGGAAATCCATCAATCCTACTCCGTGCTGGTCCCAAAATGCTGTGAGCATGACCTTGCCTGCCGAGAGTTGGGCACTGTTAGGGATTCTTCTTCTTCAGAAAAGGAAGGGGAGCAGGGAAGTGATCAGGAATTGGAAGAGGAATCAGACGATGAGGTCTTGCAAGTGTCCACATTTCTGGAGAGGTGAAAGGAGACAGACGGCGTTCAGCTAGAATAGCTGCTAGAA